TATTAAATGAAAATATTTGAATTTATAAAATAACTATTGGTTCCTAGTTGTTGGTAAATGTTTAAATATACTAATAAATAAATATAATTTATTGTTTCTTAATTTACGTGAAACTAACATAACATCAATCTTAAATCTTAATAGAAGGGGTGAGTAGTAAGGGAGGGAGTAGTATGTATTTTCATTATACAGTATAGTGACATTTGGTTTTATTAATAAATAGTGGAATGATCATTGGTTTCCAAATTAAAACAATAATTTCCGTGCAGGCACTTGGCAACACTTAGCGAGGCCATATATATTACGCCACGGCAACTGAACTTTGTTAAATAAATTTATTAAGTTCTCATTAAAATTTCTCATTAAATTTAATACTATACTCCTTCTATCCCATTTTATTATTTTGTCTGTTTTAAAATGTAAGATGCTTTGGCTAAATATGCATAGTTTAAAAAATTACTATTTTTTTTCTAAAATATATCATTTAATATAGATAGTAAAAATAATTTAACTAGTGATAAAAGAGATTGCAAAATACTAGTAATCATACAATATTCAATAAAGTTAAAAAGTACATAGAATTGTCAAAACATTTTATATTTTAAATAAAAAAATCTCCAAAACATCTTATAATTTGAAACAGAGGGAGTAGATGTTTTAGAAAAAAATTATTTGTTCCATTTTATTTGATTTTCTTGTATTTCTCTTCAAAATTTTTATTAATTAAATATGTTATGACTACTTATATTATGCAGTATATTTTTTTATTGGCTGAAATGTTTTTAGTTAAATAATAAATAGTATTTTTAATAGTTTCTTAACAAAGGGAGTATAAGATAACCTAGACGCGATGAACTTTGACTGATTTAAACTCCATCAGTGTAACCACTTGTATCATAATGTTTAGAGTAGTTGCTTTGCTTCCAATGGAAAAAGTTGCATGATAATTAAGAAAAAAGCAATGCCAATTTACTTGAATATTTTTTTATTAAAATATGGGACATACATCTCGAGGCTCCATCAAGACATACACAGACCCGACTGAAACGAGCGAGTGCATGCAATTTTAGCTATCACTAGAGTCTAGAGCAATGAAACTGACAGTTAGCTTTTACCAATCACGGTTGTCTCTCTTCAACGATGAGCTATTCAGGAATTGGACCTCTTCACTACACATTTGGACTGTTTCATTAGGTCTCAGTTATGGGCTTGCGGATTTTAAACATTTACTGAGGATTTGGTTTCAATACCCATTACTTGGTATAACTTGGTTGTCTAAGTATTTTAGAAATGTATAACTAAAGTTGGGTTGTGTATCATTTATGAACAGGTATTTATTAAGTATGCTTTAACAAAAATTAAAACTTGGCTGCTGAGTTTCATTGAGTACTTTTATATATCTTTGTGTAACAAAATTAGTCTGATTTTTTTTTTGGGCTTTTCTATAGCCTTTTATGTCGCCAATAATGATATATCCGAAGAAAATTATTTTTTTACTTAAGATCTTAGATATCAAAATCTCGATTATCGTCAATGTAAATATATATATATTTTTTGGTATTTTATTTTGTGTGTATAAAAAATGTGTTTTTTTTAGAAAGACTATTTGTAGATAAATAAAAAATTACTGGGCTTTAGGCCTATTGGCTAAGTAACCTAAGACATACAAAATGAAAACACGAAGATATGGGCCCATCCAACCCATAAAAACTCATTTTGTTGTCAAATGATTTTTTTTCTTTTCAAATTGTAAACACAAATCCGAAAATCAAACAATTGCGTTTTTACGTTTGTTTTTTGAATTTATTTTAAAGTTTAGAAAAAAATCTTTAAAAATATATACTGTAAGTTTGAAGACGTACTAAAATTTTATTTATTTTACCCCTTTTGGCAATAATTATATGTTAAATAACTTAGCAACGTTTTAACTTAAAACGTAGTCTACAACTTTTAACACACAAACTTAGTTAAAAGTTTACGCGTAGTTAAAAATTTTAACTTACAAACTTAGTCAAAAGTTTTTGACAAATATGGATGGTGTATTCAATCTAAGATTTGGAGTGATTTGTATTTAAGTGACAAATTTTCTCTATAATATTTTGAAGCCAACCAATCTGTTACGCTGTCATACCATTTTTCAAGATAACCAAACTAGTATATATCACTAATCTAAAACCAACAAAATAAGTATATACTATGATTTTCAAAAAAAAAAATCAAGTATATATAATAAAACACATATAGAATTTAATATAATGAACAATAACTGTGATAAAAATCTTTTTTCAAAACAATAAATCAAGAATAAGTTCATCAATCAAAGAAGTAACGAAACAATTTCCTAACTCTTCAATCACATACTCTTTCTCATCTTCATTGATATAACCCCATTTCATTTCCTTCACATACATCTCTCTCTTCTCTCTCACTTCCCAACTCATAAACATACAATCTTCTTCTTGTCTCCTCATCACCCATTCTTCAACTATCTTCACCAACTTATCCTCGTCTATTGTCTCATTATTCCCGTCTTCTTTGAAAAAATCTATCACGACATTGTCTACTTTGTGAGATTCCAATAAATGGTTTGGTTCTTCGATTAATCTAGACTTCACTAGAGCAAACAAACGGTATGCTCGGTTTTCATATTGATTTTCTTCGGTTTCTATCATGTAAGAGTTGTAATCTTGTCTTTCCACATATTGCTCAGTGCGTTTCTCTACATCCACAGGCTCAAGTTGTATCGAACTCTTAAATCTTAAGCGTTTTGTCATGACCTTCTTCTCATCTGTTTCTGTAAATGTCAACTTATAAAAGATTAAGTCATCGCATTCTATCACCTAATTGTTTCAAATGCAACTATGTGTTTGCGTGTGTTTAATATATCAATTTTTTTTTTAAAAACTTCATTTAGAAAAGAGAAATTAGCATGGATAACTATAAAAAAACTATATCTAAGAATCTAAGAAAAAGTACCTATGTGGCCAATTTCTAATCATTAAAATTAGGATTTTTAGTTAGAATATTAGATAGTTTTTTTTTTTAGTTACATCACCAATTGACCCTTTAGAAAACACTAAAAAAAAAAAATAGTACACACAACAACAACAACAATAGTAAAAACTCTTTTAACGATAACTACAATAACTTAAGTCTTTAACGTAAGAAAAAACTTTAACAAAACAAAATAAACGTAAGGAAAAAAAGTATATTCGGAAACAAGCTATGTTATGAGTTATGACCCTATATCGATTATCAAACATTCAAAACATGAGGATATAATCGGTGAATTTACCTTTTTGAAACGAATGAGGAGTGATTGAATCAACTTCGAATGGGCATTCCAAGACCGATATTGGACTGAGTTGTTCTTTCTCGTCGTTCACACATTCCTACAAATCACATTGACTGAATTAACTCAATATTAAATGGAGAACTATTAGTATATGTGAACGAGGGATCAACTGTGTAGTAAATCGTGCACGAGTTCTAGTTCAGAAAGAGAAATGTTGGAAATGAGGAGTAGAGTGAGTTGGCAAAGTCAACCCACTTCATGACAACGACATTTTACATCTCTCGACTCTCGAGTCTCCACACCTTCCAAAATTACTAGTATATCACTATTTTAAATTTTTTAATTCCAAAACTTTTCGATTCTTTAGCTACAAAGCTTGCTCTTTAATGCTAACTTTACATTAACACATTACGTGAATTGTGTTATTTTATGGGTATATGTATTAAGTAGCTAAATTTTGGAAGGTTATTCAATAACTTTAATTCTTTTTTTTTTTGCAAAATAAATTAATGTGGATCGGACGAGATTTTTGTCTATTTAAAAAAAAAAGGTAAATATTTTACCGTATGATATGGTAGTTTTTCAATTTTAATTCTACAACTAGATAGTTACCCGCGTTATATGCGGGATAATGTGATACGCGAGTAAAATTAATCTAGCTTTAGTTTAAAACATCATCTATAGTTATTGAAAAAATTATTATATGGAATCTAAAACTCGTTTATATATATGAATTTTACAACTCTTTTGTATAGAAATGCATCCCACCCGTTAAATAATTGAATTTTTTTTTTAGTCAATATATCACTTTCTAATAAAATGTATTTATTTACTATCATAATCTTAAAAAATACGGTTTATGACTCAAATATACAAAATAAAAGATTACAAATATGAATTGAATTTTATAGGGTTAAGATAATTATAAAAATAGGTGAATATTAATAGTAAACTTTCTTTTATTTTTCATTTTAAAATACAAATCCAAAAAATTATTTTCTAATGATGTTTGGTTGTAAGGATTGTGTGATTGTGTAGTGTTTGGATAATATTATAGTAGAGAATAAATAGGATAGTGAAGTGTTTGGGTAATAGTATAGTAGAGAATTAATAATATGGTTTAAATTTTAATTAAAATCTCCAAAAAATTGAGAACTTGACACATAAACAAATTAATCTAAAAATGCTTTTTTTAATATATAGAAGACTAGTTCCCACAAAAAAAAAAATTCTACAATTAGA